TTAGGAATCGACGAACGGATGGGATCGTTTTCAAGTAACTCCTTGCGTGAGAAGATAGAGATACAAGTAGTCGCACTGAGTTTCCGATCATGCTGATTTACTGAATCTTTGCGTAAAAAAGCGCAACCATTTCAATCTTTGGAAGCAAAAATACGGTTGTTGTACTGGCGTTGAAAAATGGACTCAGTCCTAAGGGTTGACCATTTTGTTTGACTGATTCAGCGCAGAGTCGCAAGAAACTGGAGCCAGTTGTTGGAATAACCTTGATCGACCAGTATGGTTGCCCGATTGATTGAAAATTACTAGAACTGGTAAACTTACGGAGGGCGCAGGGCGCGGAGTGAGTGCTAATTTCAAAGAGTCTCAAAAATCCATTCTGGTTCTGATTGTTTTGAATCTATGGCTCTATCGAGTATTGCTCCCAAAAATCTTCAGAGAGTCAAGCTGTAGTTGTTGGATCCCGGTAGGATCAACCGTCTATCAGTAATTCGCCAGCAAGGACTCAAAAAAAGTCGTATTAGAGGTTTTGGCGAGGGTCATTGATGTGGGAATCGTATTTGGAGAAAAGGTCGTTTTTTCTTGGATTTTCAACTGTATCGGGAGTTGTACTCATTCCTCCCACGCCTAACACAAAGCTAGAGTTGCGGACCGGAGTCAGAAAGTGGAGAGAGTGGTTACAAATTTCAACGTACATCATCGAAGAAGGAGATGGCTTCTCACGTTCCTAAATTTTTCCAGAAGTTCCGGTTGGTCCTGAGTGTTGGCAAAAATCCAAAGCCGTGAAAACTGGTACCTTCCACCCTATGTTCTCGGTGCATGGATATTACTCAAATAACACAAAAAACGAAGGCTCAATCCAAGGCCAGCTGATCACTCTCGCCACTGTTCAAGCACCAAATAACAAGGGTGCAACCGTGTCCTCCCCCCCCTTTCTGGTTTATGGTGGAGGCTGCGTCACTGAGCTTTGCAAATACAGCTATTCGAATCGAACATATTGTTATGTCAAAATGTTTTCAGTGACGCAACGCCTACGCGAAATTGAGGATCACAACATCGCTATGCGCCTTCAGGAAGAAGAATTCATGAGGTATGCGAGTGAATTCCCCTCATTACTTCTCTCCCGATACTGAAGTCTCACAGTTGGCGACTGACAGCACGAAATTGAGGTGCTTTAATTCTTTTGTGAGTAATTCTTTTGTATGTAAGTGACG